CAAGTGGGTATTATCTGCAAGTGTGGGTGTTCTTGTCAGTCTCTAATTGTGAGTGTTGTTCCGTATGTTCTCCCACTCTATCCAGGACCGTTGGTAGTGGTAGCTGGGTACCATATAATCCTTCTGGAGGTTGGTGTTTATGCTTTCCATTAATCCACTGGTTTAATTGATTCCAAGCATCTTCAATTTCCACACTTCTTTTCTCTGTACATGGAGAGACCAGTAGTTGCACCTTAAATGATATGAAGGTTGGGAGGTTGCAGTTTCCTGATTGGGTCCTTGCAGGGAGCAGGAATGGGATCAGGATTTGGAGCCAAGTCCAGAAGTGCTGGGGACAGCCTGGTTTCCATGTTACTGAATGCAGTTGAGTCCATTTTAACTCATAGTGACCCCATGTGACAGTAGAATGGCCCATTGGGTTTTCTAGGCTGTCATCTTTGTGGGAGCAGATCACCAAATCTTTAGCCCATGAAGCCACAGGGTAGGTTTGACTCACCAGCCTTTTGGTTAGCAACCCAGTGCTTAATCTTTGAACCTCTAGGATTTCTTGGGTCCATGCGATGGGCAAATCCTAACTGCCACTCATGAGCTTCTGGATTTGGGGCAGGTCCCTTCTATATTCCTGCCCATAGTACCTGACTCCGAGGAACACTAGGCCCTGCAAATGCCTTGACTTCTGTCCTACACCCCCTTCCCCAGGGTCTCTCCTTCATCACCTTTGTCTGCTATGTGGCATCTTCAGCTCCCGCCTTCCTCGTGGCGCCCCTGCTGGAGTTCCTGCTGGCCATATTCTTCCTCTTCGCTGATGCCAAGCAGCTGAATGACAAGTGGCAAGGCTTGTGTTGGCCCATGATGGACTTCCTGCGCTGTGTTACAGCGGCCCTCATCTACTTCATCATCTCCATCACTGCTGTCACCAAGTACTCTGACGGGGCCTCCAAGGCAGCCGGGGTGAGTAGTGACCCTACCTCTGGGAGGGGGGCCCAGTAAAACCCCCTTTCAGTTTTGCCTCCTCCCTACTGTAGGCCAGAGTCTCTCTCCCATTTGGTGTGGTACCTGGGGTCATTCTTCTCATGCTTGGGCCCCACTTCCTCACCTCTACTGCTGACCTCAGCTGTCTCTTGGACCCATGGTTTGAACGCAAACTCAGTCAACAGTTCACTCTCCCACTTATTCCTCCCAGGGGTCTGTCCATGTCTCCAAACAGATAAGAAGTGAACTGTGGGGCTGAGGTAGCAACTCCTCAGTCTCGCCTCCCAGCCCAGGGGCTCCCCGTTCTTGATGACAAACCCCGTCCACCTGAGCCCCCACCCTAGTCACCACCCTATCTCCTGTGCTCCACAGGTGTTTGGCTTCTTTGCCACTATCGTGTTTGCAATTGGCTTCTACTTGATCTTTAATGAGGTCGCCACATTCCTCAAACAAGGAGACTCCACGG